TAATATTGAAATCCTAGAATAAAGTTTTATATCAGTACCCATCAATTTGACTTATTATGATGACTCAGCACTTTTCTCAACACGGTATTGTTCTCAGTTAAAAATTTCTATTCTTTGTGATAAAAATCAAATGTACTTATCAAATGCTTCAAAATAGTAAAATATGACTGAAGTTTGATTGATTTTGATTTCCCTTGCTATCTTGAGTATAGGGAAAACGGTACTATTTATTCTGCCATAGGCGACAATACTAACATTTTCTAAATTTACCACTTTTTATAATAAAAACCTGGATAAAACAGTTATGTGTGGTGTTAGTACTTTATTATTCTATTTTAAAAATTGAAGCCAAATAGTATCATGACCAATTTCCAACGGAGCTTGTTTATGTTATCCATGCCCACCGTCATTTTACACCAAATTTATGAAATTTTGGAAGCCTTTTCAAATAATTCTCTAGAAAATATTTCAATAGGTATAAAAATTTATATTGTAAATATACACACTGCAGTTATTCATAGATAAATAAAAAAATATATTGTACCCTTACATCCAATCACAGCGCTCCTAATTTGACTTCCTTCACCTGCCTTGGGTACACAAAAGGCCAACCTAATGCTGGGAAAATGTAATAGTACCGTTTTCCCTATACTGTGACATTAAGATATAAAGAATTCTTATGACACCATTAATGCAATACTGGGTTATTGTGAAAACCTTGGCTATAATAAATACTTGTATGTCCCCATTACTTAAAGTAACATGGATCATTTTATGTCCCCACCCCTACATGCTGGTTTACCTCTTTCTCTACTTCTTTCATAAAGGCTTAATAAACAACCTGTATTCAATCATATCTTATCTTTTAAAAAAAAAAATTATAAACAGTTCCATTTAAACAGATAAAAATGACATTTCCATTCAATTTGTATTCATTTTATCCAAAATTTACAACATAAGTACAAATTCAAGATTTTTCATACTAATCTCCATTCCATGCTTTAGTATATGCCATATTGTGGTTCAAAATTTCAGAGCTTGTTATAAAATCCATTATTCTGTCTTGAGATGATAAAAACAAAGATATTAGACACTTAAAATATTAAATATGCAAAGTACTCAGCTGTTAAGTTGCCTTTGTTGCCTGAATTAATCTATGAAAAAGCAGAATTATGTCCCTTGGGAGTATTGATTTCCAACAAAAGTCCTTTCAAACAGAAGAAAATGAAAAACAATATATGCCTGATATAACAATAGATAGCAACTACAAAATGAAGCACTATTGAAATATTTGCTGCATGAATTGCCAAGAATGTGAACAATTCGTTACACAGGATAGCATAAATTCCATCTAAATTTAGCCTCAAGTGGGCCTCTTTTTTTCCTAAATGGACAATTTCAACACTGAAAATGCTTCTAGTATGACCAAATATTGCCTAACCCCATAAACAGTACAAACTTAACCCGACAATTTGCCATTTTAATAGATTATGTCTAGAGAAATACCCAAGTGATACATTTAGGGAATTACACAGCAAAAGAGGCAAATATTTCAGTTAAAAATATTTGTCGTGACTTGAATTCTGGTAATTTCAATTGAATTAAGCATTGCGAAAGGTGAAAACAACTACAAAAGAACCATAGTTTGGTGCATTTTATACAATATAGTTAATATTGAAATCCTAGAATAAAGTTTTATATCAGTACCCATCAATTTGACTTATTATGATGACTCAGCACTTTTCTCAACACGGTATTGTTCTCAGTTAAAAATTTCTATTCTTTGTGATAAAAATCAAATGTACTTATCAAATGCTTCAAAATAGTAAAATATGACTGAAGTTTGATTGATTTTGATTTCCCTTGCTATCTTGAGTATAGGGAAAACGGTACTATTTATTCTGCCATAGGCGACAATACTAACATTTTCTAAATTTACCACTTTTTATAATAAAAACCTGGATAAAACAGTTATGTGTGGTGTTAGTACTTTATTATTCTATTTTAAAAATTGAAGCCAAATAGTATCATGACCAATTTCCAACGGAGCTTGTTTATGTTATCCATGCCCACCGTCATTTTACACCAAATTTATGAAATTTTGGAAGCCTTTTCAAATAATTCTCTAGAAAATATTTCAATAGGTATAAAAATTTATATTGTAAATATACACACTGCAGTTATTCATAGATAAATAAAAAAATATATTGTACCCTTACATCCAATCACAGCGCTCCTAATTTGACTTCCTTCACCTGCCTTGGGTACACAAAAGGCCAACCTAATGCTGGGAAAATGTAATAGTACCGTTTTCCCTATACTGTGACATTAAGATATAAAGAATTCTTATGACACCATTAATGCAATACTGGGTTATTGTGAAAACCTTGGCTATAATAAATACTTGTATGTCCCCATTACTTAAAGTAACATGGATCATTTTATGTCCCCACCCCTACATGCTGGTTTACCTCTTTCTCTACTTCTTTCATAAAGGCTTAATAAACAACCTGTATTCAATCATATCTTATCTTTTAAAAAAAAAAATTATAAACAGTTCCATTTAAACAGATAAAAATGACATTTCCATTCAATTTGTATTCATTTTATCCAAAATTTACAACATAAGTACAAATTCAAGATTTTTCATACTAATCTCCATTCCATGCTTTAGTATATGCCATATTGTGGTTCAAAATTTCAGAGCTTGTTATAAAATCCATTATTCTGTCTTGAGATGATAAAAACAAAGATATTAGACACTTAAAATATTAAATATGCAAAGTACTCAGCTGTTAAGTTGCCTTTGTTGCCTGAATTAATCTATGAAAAAGCAGAATTATGTCCCTTGGGAGTATTGATTTCCAACAAAAGTCCTTTCAAACAGAAGAAAATGAAAAACAATATATGCCTGATATAACAATAGATAGCAACTACAAAATGAAGCACTATTGAAATATTTGCTGCATGAATTGCCAAGAATGTGAACAATTCGTTACACAGGATAGCATAAATTCCATCTAAATTTAGCCTCAAGTGGGCCTCTTTTTTTCCTAAATGGACAATTTCAACACTGAAAATGCTTCTAGTATGACCAAATATTGCCTAACCCCATAAACAGTACAAACTTAACCCGACAATTTGCCATTTTAATAGATTATGTCTAGAGAAATACCCAAGTGATACATTTAGGGAATTACACAGCAAAAGAGGCAAATATTTCAGTTAAAAATATTTGTCGTGACTTGAATTCTGGTAATTTCAATTGAATTAAGCATTGCGAAAGGTGAAAACAACTACAAAAGAACCATAGTTTGGTGCATTTTATACAATATAGTTAATATTGAAATCCTAGAATAAAGTTTTATATCAGTACCCATCAATTTGACTTATTATGATGACTCAGCACTTTTCTCAACACGGTATTGTTCTCAGTTAAAAATTTCTATTCTTTGTGATAAAAATCAAATGTACTTATCAAATGCTTCAAAATAGTAAAATATGACTGAAGTTTGATTGATTTTGATTTCCCTTGCTATCTTGAGTATAGGGAAAACGGTACTATTTATTCTGCCATAGGCGACAATACTAACATTTTCTAAATTTACCACTTTTTATAATAAAAACCTGGATAAAACAGTTATGTGTGGTGTTAGTACTTTATTATTCTATTTTAAAAATTGAAGCCAAATAGTATCATGACCAATTTCCAACGGAGCTTGTTTATGTTATCCATGCCCACCGTCATTTTACACCAAATTTATGAAATTTTGGAAGCCTTTTCAAATAATTCTCTAGAAAATATTTCAATAGGTATAAAAATTTATATTGTAAATATACACACTGCAGTTATTCATAGATAAATAAAAAAATATATTGTACCCTTACATCCAATCACAGCGCTCCTAATTTGACTTCCTTCACCTGCCTTGGGTACACAAAAGGCCAACCTAATGCTGGGAAAATGTAATAGTACCGTTTTCCCTTAAAACAGATACAAAACCATTTCCGCCTGCTTACAAAACGTAGACGGTAAGGAAGCAGCTACGGAACTTTATTTGGGGTTTAATTAATTAAGCTACGCTAATTAAAGCAATTACTATATGAAGTTATAAAGTACATTACATACACCAGAGACAATGTATTATATGTCTCTGCATACACTAACTATTTATTATTATATAATATTTCAGACGATTGTCGGCTCGGAGACAATTCAAACCGCGGCTAAAAAAATTTGGTCTACAAATTTAATAGTATAGAAATGACTACCACAGATTGTTGTAACTGAAGATAAGATTAAAACAAGATCAGAATTCTTCATCTGTCCATTTCGCAAAATACATGTAGGCGTCAAGAAATGTAAACTCAAACATCACATGAAAAGACAACATAAACCAAAGCAGTTGCTAATTATAATTATATTTACACTGAGACAGAAAAGATGCTATTTTTTTCCTTTCATTTTCAGTATCATAATAAAAAATTGTTTACTGCCGGATATCCTGAAGTATTGACGTTTTTTTCTTCCATTAAATTCATATTTCAAAGATTCGATCACATTTATTTTATTTAACTCCTTTAAATTTCAGTTTGCTCTAAGGAGTGTTAGCTAGCCTAGGGCATAACAATTAAATATGCAACATATTTGCAGAACAATATCAGTCATGGTAAGTTTCAAGTGTTTCTTTTGAGAGATGTCCTTCATTAATGTTAGCGTACTGTTACTTCTCAAGTTAAGTATCTATTTTCTATTTCGATGTAAAACAGTGTCTACATTTGCAAACCAAACAACACAACAACATTATAGATTTAAATGGCATGTGCACGTACAGACACTCTGCAGAATCAACCCAGGCTCCTGCCCTTCACAAGTCATTACAAATGTGTGGTTAAATTTTTTTTAATGATCCGTTCTCATATTAGGCAATGACAAAAGTTGATTGTGGTACTTGGGTATATCTGAATGGAAATCTTCTGCATGAAGGTCAATTATCAATTCTCTCGCTGCGAAAATAGTCCAAGAAACTAGACGAAACAATTAAAAAACAACTATATGTTTTGTCAAAATGGAAACTGAAATTCATAAGAATTTAAAAGGTATATATGAAAATTTGAAAATATGAAACAGTCATATCTTCGAATTAAAATAGTTTAGGAAGCCTTCTGCTATATCCTTCCTCACTATTTGGAAGAAAAAAGTCTCTTATTTCTTTTTCGAAGGTGACTTCCAAACAGAAGAGAATGTCAGCATTATCAGGCGTATATAGAGGCATTTTTCGCCGAACATCAACATTTGCTTTAGCGTTTTGCACTGGTGGATTAATATATGCAATGTATTTGGACAAGGCTCTTGACAGCGTGTTTAGAAACATGAATAAAGGGGTAGGTTTGCTATTCCCATATACAGGTTGGGGACAACCCACCAAATGGGGAACTATTCCCCAAATGAGTAACACTGCCTCATTTGAGTAATCATTTGATGGTGTTAAAAAAGAAATTTTCTTAACTGGGTCTTTTAACTAAAAATGGCACAAATTTATAGAAAATGGAACAACTTCTTCCAAAGGCAAAGAACCATAATTTTATATGGGGTTTTTAAAAGGCAGTGGAGTTTTAGCCGGTTCCCGCAAGATAGCCTCTTAGGTGCTATTTTACAGGCTCCAGCAAAATAGCCTTTTTTTAATTAGTGCTATTTTGCCGGTCTTAATTCAGATTTTTCAGTATATAATTACGATTAGAAAGAATGTAGGAACATACACTTTAACATGTTCATAAGAAATCTCTGAACAAATATGTCTTCTTTAAAAAAAAACGTAAACATCATATTAAAATTGATACATTTTTTTTTTATTTTAATAAAAAATATCCCATAAGCAAATGATAAGTTTTGAAATTGAAAGTTACTTTACATACAAAAAAATATGTCTTTTTAAAAATATAGTACATAAGCAAAGCATGCATATTAAAATTTATATATTAATTAAAAATTGTAATGAAAATATCCCATAAATTGGCATATGATAAGTTTTCAAATTGAAATTGAAATTCAGTAACTTCAAAATTCTTTACAAGTGTAACAAAACCAGTGCTTATTTAGTCAAAAAGATGCTGCCACTATAGACTGTTGGATAGGGTTTTTAGAATAGTTTATTTATGATTTGTTGTTGAGCAAAATAACACAATTATGTGTTAATTTTTGACAGCGAATATGATTTCAATAAAAAAAATATTTCATTTAGTCTGATAAAAATCTGAAATAAGACAGACGCAATTGCAAAACTCTGTATAAATCGCTATTTTGCCGGAGCCTGCAAACATTATCAATTGCAAATTTTCACAAAGGCATGTATTGCACAAACAATAACTGACTTAGGATAGGTGCAAACAAATGCAGCGGGTTTAAACAGGTGCCAACCTTCACCCTAACCTAAAACAGTGGTGTAACATTACAACATAGAAAGACACTCTATAAAATATCAATTGAAATGGCTTAACTCAATCAAAAAGAAATATTGACAATAATAAGTAAACATACATTGAACGAATAAATTTGATCTATGACACAATATAAATACAATATCATGAATATGTAAAACAATGTCAAAACAACTATAACCTGGGACAAAATGGCATTAAATGAAATAAGGCACACAGGTAACTTTAAACATAATAATGTTGTCGTTAGGAGTACGGAAATATTTTTTACCAAATAAATTTGTTGTTCATAGTAGGTCATGTAGGTGAACAGAAGTGAAAATTAATAGTAATACTAAACACTTGTCAAAGGTGGTACATACAAAAAATAGTGAGACGAGATATAACACAAAACAAGTAAACATTGTTGTCTGCTCTATGGTCGGGTTGTTGTCTCTTTGACACATTCCCCATTTCCATTCTCAATTTTATTGAAAAACAAAAATATGCCATTTTAAGTAAAAAAGATTCGTTTAAGAAAATTTTGTTTTTAGCACTATCAAATGATTTCTTTCTCCGTACAGGCTTGTTTACAGGTATCATATATTCAGGGAGGAGTGATTTCATCTTTGTCTTCTTCACAACGATTTATAGAAAATATGACATACTTCAAGCTACTGTTGAATTGTTTAACTACTGAAATTTGTTCCATAAAGTCAGGCTCAAAAGATTCTGTACCCGATTTGTTTGAGACAGAAAGTTGACAAAGATGAGTTATCGTGTCGGTTGTGAATATCCGCTGCATCTTCTTCAATGATATCATCAAAGACATCATTCCATGTGCCTGAATCTGTATAAACAGTTTACTTATTTGTCTTAAAATTGACAGAAGTTGACAGCGTAAAGTACTCCTCCATAACATCATGGATATCTGTAGTCCAAATAATTATGACGTCTTGAAAGGCTATTTTAATTTTTTTTCTGTGACGCGAGGAAAGAGTCAGAGAAAAAAATTAAAATAACCTTTCAAAACGTCAAAACGGGGGGGGTTCAAAGGTTGGTCGGTAAACTGCAAACAAACAATATTTTAATTTAAGCCTGAAATAATTTTCCCATGTTACCATACAGTCAAGTATATAACTCTATAGGGTTATTAGAGAAAAATAACATACATAAAAATTTGTTATTGTGGACTAAAAAATCAAAGATCTGTGATAACATATGTATGTTACATGTTCCAAAGGGACAATATCACATGAATATATATACATCATTATTTTTGTTGAATTTTATACAAGTTCTATTGCTATGACTATTGTCTTTATGTATACTTAACTATATAACAGATATAAAGATATAACAGATATAAAGATATAACAGTTCATATTTTGCCAATCATGCATAGTACACCTATGTTATTACAGAAAAAATATGCCTGTAATAACTAAAGGGTGTTATTACAGCTTCTCTATATCACTCCAAAGCATTTGCCCAGACATACATCATGCTTAATTACAATGTATTTTAATTCATTGTAAGAAATAATGATCAGAGCATGTAATGAGGTTCTGCGCAAGCTTCCCAGTAATTCCCAAGTGTCTCATATAATAAGTTACATGCCTTTAATAACTAAGCCTTGTTATTACAGCTAAGTTTATCTCTTAAAAGCCTCTTCTTATTGATTTACCATGGTTAATGATAAATGTATTAATTTAATTCAAAAATTAGTTATCAAGGCTATGCATTTAGTTTCAGCCATGTCAGCGCAAAGTTTCAAGAGTTCCCGAGAGCCCACTAAAAATTAAAATGTTGATGATTTATTTTACAAATAACAAACATATGTTATTACAGATTTAGAAAATTAAAGGATTAAAGAGTAGACAACTAATAAAAATATCTGTAATAACACATGCAAGATATTTTCTACAATAACCATGATAACCCTATAGAGTTATATCCCTGACTGCCATAGGGTCATGTTTTAACAGACTAAAAGTTACAGAATTGGTGGTTAGACACCAGACAACTACCAACAATATTCTTCACTTGGAACATGTGGGACAGACACATGAGTGTAGCTGGGCTATAAGATTTGTTGTGCCCACAACTGTGTTTTCTTGTTCAACGTATAGGTGGGTCTATTATTGTAGACACAAAGAATGAGAATGTAGTTGTGTTGCTTTCAAGATGTTTGTTAGGCCACACACCCAGTTCTGCTACAAGTTGTTTCCGCCACAGTACTAGTCCAAATAATTATGACGTCTTGAAAGGCTATTTTAAAAAAAATTCTGTGACGCCATCCTACGACATCATAACACCATTTTTCCTTCTGGACTTTGAGAGGAAATTTATGGTGGAACTTTGAAACCCAATTTTGCCATGAAATCTTCATTGACATCTAGAATTTTTTGCCTATATACAAAGTCTTACCTTTTGTGTTCTTGTTGGTGCAAAATATTTCCAGAAATATCAAAAAGTAATGGTAAAATAAGTTACGATTCCATTTGACAATCAAGGGTATAACTTTATAGGTTTATTAGAGAATTACAGATACTTTCATGAGTTGTCTACTCTTTATTTCTTAAAGTTCCTTAATCTGTAGTAACCAGTAACATATATTTGTTATTATAAATCATAAATATTTTTATTTTTAGTGGGCACTTGGGAATTCTTGAAACTTTGCACAGTAACTTAATACATAGTCTTGATAACTAATTTTCCAATTAAATTAATAATTTTTTATCAACCATGGTAAATCAATGAGACAAGGTGTTTAAGGGATAACAAGGCTTAGTTACATGTACATGTATTACAGGCATGTAACTTATTATATGAGACACTTCGGAATTACTTGGAAACTTGCACTGAACCTCATTACATGCTCTGGTCATTATTTCTTACAATAAATTAAAATACATTGTGATTAAGCATTATATACATATATATACACAACAGCCCGTGTGGATTTTGCTTTTTCCACCGGCCCACCGTGGGCAGTCCACCCGTGCCCACTCTAGCTATTATCTCTTTTTTGTAAAAATATTGATTACAAATGCTTATCTGCTTTTTTCAAGTGATTGTACTTGCAAGTCTTTAGATGAAACAAAAGAAATTGAATGCCCACTCCTACAGGTGGGCAGAGTGGACAAGGTACAAATTTTGCCCACCCGGTGCCCAATCCCATGGTGGGCCGGTGGACAAAGCAAAATCCACCCGAGCTGTAGTGTATGTCTGAACAAAGGCTTTGAAGTGATGTAGAGAAGCTGTAATAACATTATTCCCAACTGCAAACCCCTACATTTTTTCCAATTTCGAGAGGAAAAATTCCCAAACGATCTCAAAATTCAAATGAAAATAAATTTGGCAGTAATCCTTGCCAAAACTATCCTGTTCTCTTTGAAGGTGAAAAAGGCAATGAATTCTTATAAATCACATGTGCGCTTTCAGTTTGGGTGTCCAAGTAATTGATACTAAAATAAAATATTTTTAAACATGTTTGTTATATGATAAACAAAATGAGTTTGCTCAATAGCAAATACTACATGTATGTTAAGAAATTTTTAAAATTCTGATGGGAACAAATCCAGGAAAATCTTAAGATGCTTTTTATTTTTCCAAATTTAATTGAAAATCATGTAAAAAATTCCCAAAACTGCCAAGGGTCCTTTTTCTTATAATATATGTACCCAGAAAAATGCCTGAAAAAAGCACTTTTTTTATTTAATGGTAATCAGGTAATGCCTGCCTCCTAAATGTGTGTATCTCTTGACTGACCTAGGCCAAAGTAACTTACTTTTCATGCTTTTCTATTCACAGTTGAATATGGGATCCCAGCATTCTTCTCTAAAGTTTTTATTCACACTTTTGGTAATAATTCGCATCAATTAACAAAACAGAAAGTCTCAAAATATCCTCAAAACTATGAAAAACCGTATACACGTACCCATTTAAACAGAGTGGCTCAATCACTTTTGTTCACATCATAGTTTACATAATGGTGCTATGTAATTACAAATTTTGATATTTGATGGTATATACTGGCTGACTATGGCTAACGCAACATTACAAAACTTGCTGTCCCTGGTTGCTCCAGAGTCCAATCGTCATACATGTACTCCCAATTTTCCGACTAATAAGCGAGTAGGAATGGTATATGGCATTGGACACCATGTAAGCATTTGAGGCTTAAAAGTAACCCTTAACTAAATAAATTTTATCTTGACGTAATAACAAGAACAGAAATGTGTCCATATGACCACAGGAAAAAATAATGTCCCCTACTATTATAGACCACACAAAATAATAAATAATATTTAATAGGCAGGTGCTACCTGATGAGCTCCTATTGCATTTTTTATACGCCTGTCAATTTTTGACGTGACGTATTATGGTATACAAATGTCTGTCTGTCTGTCTGTCCGGCGTAAACATGTCGCACCGTAACTTGAGAATGACTTATCCAAATTTCATGAAACTTAACATAGTTGTTTCTTATGATGGTCAAACGATCTGTATACTTTTTGGTGAAAATAAGATTAAAACTTTTTGATTTACAGGACTTAGTAACAATAACAGGTGTGTGTTTTTTTTCACATGTCGCGCCGTATCTCAAAAACAATTTATGATTATTGCTTAAAACTTTACACACTTCTTAGTTATATTAATCTTAAGATCTGTATACTTTTTGGTGATGATTCAAAATTTTGTTTTAGAGATATTGAGTATTTTGTTAAAAAAGGGGGAGGGGTTTTTCACATGTCGCGCCGTATCTCAAAAACAGCTTATGATTATTGCTTAAAACTTTACACACTTCTTAGTTATATTAACCTTAAGATCTGTATACTTTTTGGTGATGATTCAAAATTTTATTTTTGAGTTATTGAGTATTTTGTAAAAAAAGGGGGAGGGGTTTTTCACATGTCGCGCCGTATCTCAAAAATGATTTATGATTATTGCTTAAAATTTTACACACTTCATAGTTATATTAATCTAAAGATCTGTATACTTTTTGGTTTTGATTCAAAATTTTATTTTTGAGATATTTGATTTTTTTTTTTTAAAAGGGGGGTTTTCACATGTCATGCCGTATCTCAAAAACGATTTATGATTATTGCTTAAAAATTTACACACTTCTTAGTTATATTAATCTAAAGATCTGTATACTTTTTGGTTTTGATTCAAAATTTTATTTTAGAGATATTGAGTTTTTTGTAAAAAAAAAAGGGGGTTTTCGCATGTCACGCCGTATGTCAGAAACTATTTATGCTTTTTTTTGTATTGGTGCATGTTTGTTTTACTTAATTATTATACTTTTCATTTATTAGATATATGTACACAAATCGGAGGGAAATCAAATGCTGCATTTTCAAATTTGCAGAAAATAATGTGTTTCTTTATATTGTTGTTGGGGCCTCGGTGGACAAGTGGTCTGAGTAGTCGAACTATTGTTTCACTAGCCTAGTCAACACTAAGGTTGTGAGTTCGAATCCTGCACTTGGTAGGTGCGCTCAACTCCAATCTTTATTGACCAGAATTGTCAGTTTACCTAACAAAGGTTAATGGTTCTCTCTGCACAGCACACTCTGGCTTCCTCCGCCAATATAAACTGACTGCCACGAAATAGCACTATAGTGTTGAAAGTAGCGTAAAAAACCAATCAATCAACATGATCAATTTTTATGATGTTTTTATGAAAAATCCTGAAAAAAAAAAGAAAACCTGTTAGAAGTTATTGACATGTTGTTGAAGCTTTTTCAGAATGATCATGATTTGAGTTTGAGTTATCTTCCCTTGGTCATCAGTTTGGATTAAACCATTGATTTTTTTTATTTGACTAACCTAATTGAAACATGCAATACACACAAGTCTGAAAAAAGATCCTTAAAATATTGTTAAAAAAAAACCTTTTTTCTGAAGTCTAGCAGTCAGTATAACATGTTGAATTTAGCTGATTTATGAAAGAATTTGCCCACTTAGATCTCCAACATAGCAACAAAAGGGAATCAACTCTTGCTCACATTGTGTCAGTCAAAACCTATATCTATAGACATAATGACCCTTCTACCATTTATGCCTCCTATTGTACAAATCCTTATTTCAGAATGCTCTCAATTGTTGAAAGAAAGCTCGAAATACCAAACCTGCTAATAAAGCTTTATTATTCAGTCTAATATTGCTGCTTTGAGACTGGCATAAATTTCGAAAAGTATTCATGTTTTATCATCTTTAGTTTATTGTATTTATGGAAAAGGTCATGAAAATTTTTCCAACATACCTATTTAAAGAACAAATTTTTATTTTCAGAAATTGTACGAGGATGTCCAAGCTTATTACAGTCAAAAGAGTGAAGAATGATTTATAGATAGAAATAGAAACAAAAAATGACTGCTGTGCTTAGCATCAACTTATTAATGGTGTACCCATATGAAGAATAGGATCAGAAATAAACTCAGAAAGATCTGTGCTAATTTTGACAGTCAATTCAAATTGTATTTTGGTGTTTAGCATAACAGTCTTTCATAAAATCTGAATCATCATTTTAACTTATGAAGTCACATTGTTTTATTTGGTAATATAATTTATAAAAGAGATATTGTATGACTTTTTGTTAACTAGTTAGTTGAGTTTTGTCATGTAGGTTAAATGTTATTGAAACAGGAAGTAAACAAAGAATCTTAGAAAAACACCAATAGAGGTCTATATATACATGCAGTAAATCTTGAAAACTTTCTCAATATAAAAATTAGAAGATGTGGCATGTGTGCCAATGAGACAACTATCCACCAGAGACCAAATGAAGTTAGCAACTATAGGCCACCATACAGCCTTCAACAATGAGCAAACCCATATCGCATAGTCAGATATAAGAGGCATGACAAAATATCAAAAGTTTATGAGGGGCCTCGGTGGCCGAGTGGTCTAAGTAGTTACTACTGTAATCACTAGCCAGTCAACACTGAGGTTGTGAGTTTGAACCCTGCTCGTGCGGGTGCACTCGACTCCAATCTTAATTGACTAGGATTGTCAGTTTTCCTATCGAAATTGGTGGTTTTCTCCGGGCACTCCGGCTTCCTCCACCAATAAAAACTGACCGCCACGAAATAGCCCAAAAGCGGTGCTTAAAAGTGGCGTTAAAACACCAAAAATCAAAAATCAAATCAAACGTTTATGACATAACAATAAATGGAAAACAAATATGACAGACAGCAACCTACCACATACTCTGAATTACTAGATTTTTCTTGGGTCTAGTTTAGTTTTTGACTGGCCTTGACAGTATAAAAAAACGAGACCTAGGTTTGCTGTTTCCAGTGGCAACATCATCATCAATTTATGACTCGCTTGCGAATCTAGTCGCAGAAGGACTTATGGATAACAATCCAGAGGCGATTTGGTAAACTATTTTTATAAAGCTTTATATTTCAGAAGGTAGATGACCTGGATGCCTCATACCTTGTATGCAGATACCTTATGTTCAAAAGTTTTTGTCTGTTATATGTCTATTGTCCTTGACCTCATTTTCATGATTCAGCAACTGCTTGAAAATAATTTAAAGTTTTTTTGTTATCTGAGAAGAAAAAATGAAAACACATTTTAAATTTCATGCTTCCGAAGCCCTTTTCTGGATTTACCTTCATCAGGAACGCTGAAAGCCAAATATTTGAAAGCCAATGATGTATAAGAACCAAAACATTTGAAGAGCTATATGACCAAAAAGAACCTAAAAAATAGTGAAATCCATCTAAGGTCAACTTTGCCTGAGGGAGTTGAAACCATAGTTTCTTTATAATTTCAAAATTTATAAACGAACAATTTTGGAAAGGATTGTTATAAATCATGTCAGTACGGAAGTACTACTGAGCTGATTATACCCTCTTCTTTGCTATACACACTTATTAGGAGTATTTAGGATAATATGTATGTAGAATCCATGCAACGTCTCATCTTAATAAGGTCTACATGTCTGTCCGACAAGGATCACCTGACCTCGACCTCATTTCATGGATCAGTCATCAAGGTTAAGTTTTTATGGTCAAGTCTGTATCTCAGATACTATAAACAATAGGTCAAATATATTTAGTATATGGAATGATTGTAAGGTATACATGTCTATCTGGCAGGTTTCATCTGACCTTGACAATTTTGTCATGGTTCATTTTTGTGGGTTGGTCCAAAGGCATTCTCAGATACTACTGTGGATTCATTCTTGTTTGTGGGATACCAATTTTTATGCCCTTGCCGTCACGGGAGGGGGCATTAAATGTTACTCTTGTCCATTCGTTCATCCAAAATTGGTTTCCGTTTTCTTACTTTAGTTTGCCTCAACCAAATGTTATGAAACTTAAACATAATGCTTATTACCACAAAACACCGATCAAGTTCGAATTTGGGTGTCGTTATTTTTACCTTTCTCCGAGTTATGCTCCTTTATAATGTTATATGCAAGCAGGGGTATCATCTGTGTCACACGGACACATTCTTCATTTATTGTGGGTATAAGTTAACCACAAGGAATCCATGACAAATCGCCCCACTGGCAAATCGCCCCACACCTAATCGCCCCACTTTTTTACCAACTCGCCCCACTTCCAAAAAAATCGCCCCACTCTTGTTTACCAACTCGCACCACTCTTGTTTACCAACTCGCCCCACTTATGAAAAGGGTAAAATCCCATTGAAAATAGGTTGGATAACATGCCCCACTCATGAAAAGGGTTAAAATCCCGCTGAAATAAGGTCTGCCAACTCGCCCCACTCATGACAAATAGATAAACCACGATGAATTTAATAAAACAGAATACATAATTATGCATAACAATAACATTTAAAACAAACATACATTAAATCAGTTATGACAAGCACTGGCATGATAACATAAAAAGAAGTACTAGATGAAATGTCAGCACTAGAAACAAGAACATGAATACATTGTCATTATACGTCACGACTAGACCGTTGACACGACCACACTGGCGTAAGAGTCTGGTTGTAGATATGCTGCCTGCAATATACTGCTCCCACATGTTGAATAGGATGGCTTGGCTTTTACCTTTACGTTGTACGTGTAACCGTGGCTGTCCACAAGCTTACGCTTGCCCTGCTGTGTACCGGACTCAACTGTTGTGTAGGTGATGGTATCTGGAGCAATCTCAACGTTGTTGATGGAAGCGTCTAAGATCGAGCTGTAAAAAAATCGATTATATAAATAACTTACATTTTTCAATTATGTCATTACTTTAAGCAAGTAATACTGAACAGCACAATTACATGTAATATACGAATACATCCGAGTAGAAGACAACCTCAAGTTACTCTCATAAAAACTTTATTAAATCTAATTGGTAGTCAAATACTTCTTATTTTTACAATTTATGATATTACAATTTTATAATAAATACACGAAAAGAAATATTAAATATACATATAATGAATTAACGTAGAAAATACAATGCTTACACTTCAAGTTGAACAGTTGGCACTTCAAAGGAAGCACTGATGTTGAAGGACAGCTCTGGCTCTTGAAACACCTCTGGGTCATCTGGCTGTTGGTCTGAATCTGTTTGGTCTTGATGAACGGACTGGTCTGCAAGGTCTGTCTGCAGTAAAGACTGATCATCTGGGTTGGGTGCTTCACAAGGCGTACATCGCCAGCTTATAGACATAAATTTCTCATTTTTGTTTGTTTTCACATTCCCCATTTCCATTCTCAATTTTATTTGACTACTTTTACTAACAAAAACACGACACGCGCTTATTGTAAATGAAAGAATGGGCATTCTCTTTGATATTTACTTGAAAGTTACATTTGCCTTTCACTGATTGCTCGTTAGTGTTTAATTATTCTTAATTCAAAGACAAAAGTAACCAATCCGGTAAGTGCTATGATAACAAATTGCTGTTAATTGAAATCCTTCAATTGTTATGATATATCGCATTATGATACAATTAACAGGTTTCTTTTCAATTGTTATGCAAATAACTATAAGCTTACAAGAATAAAGTTATTCTGCAATAATACGAAAATTATATTTAGAATTATAATTTCAGAAAGTGAAACATCATTTAATTTCAATAATAATAATTAAATAAATTTTCGTTTTTTTGTATTCTGTGTAGATTAGTTTTCATTTAAGTGGGGCGAGTAAGCAGACATGAAAATTATATATTCATCTAGATATTACCGTTTTTCATTAAGTGGGGCGAGTTGGCAGGAGTAATATTAACGGGATTTAACCCTTTTCAAAAGTGGGGCGATTTTTTAAGAAGTGGGGCGAGTTGGTACACCAGTTGGGGCGATTTTTTTAAAAGTGGGGCGAGTTGGTGAAAAAGTGGGGCGATTAGGTGTGGGGCGATTTGCCAGTGGGGCGATTTGTCCTGCTTCCACCACAAGTTAAAATATTCCACAAGGCACACATTTTCCAATGGCTTGAATACTGAATCTTGGAAAACCGTGGAATCAAATATCCACGAAAATACAATTTTTCCTCAATCCACGAAATTTAGTATCCACGAAAATAAATAAATCCACAGTATAAGAAATAGGACCACTATATTTGGCGTATGGAATGATTCTAAGGTGTACATGTCTTTCTGGTTTCATATGACCTTGACCTCATTTTTATGGTTCAGTGGTCAATGTTAAATTTTCCATGGTTTTGTCAGTTTATCAGATATTATAGGCGATAAATATATCGACTATATTTGGTGTATTGAATGATTATAAGGTGTACATGTCTTTCCGGAAGGTTTTATCTGACCTTGACCTCATTTTCGGGTTCAGTGGTCAATGTTAATTTATTCATGGTTTTATCAGTTTATCAGGTACTATAAGCAATAGTCAACTATTATATTTGGTGTATGGAAAGATGTTGGGTATACATGTCTTTCTGGCAGGGCTTATCTGAGCTTAAACTCATCTTTATGGTTCATTGGTCAATGTCAATTTTTCATGGTTATGGCTGTTTTCAGATGCATATATATATAAGTTCAACTATATTTGGTGGTCAGGTAGAGTTAATTTGATCAAAATAAGTAAGGGATGTGGATTAGGTTGGTCTTGTAGGTCAATGATATTTGGTGTGTAGTTATGTTAGCATTAGCGATCATGTATTATTTAGCACATTTCTTATTCATGAAGATTATTTGGGCAATCCGTATCATTCATAATTTATTGACGTTGGAATTTTTGCATAGTTTACATGTTTGTGATAAGTTCAGTTCACTCCTTATAGGAATTATTGCCCTTAAATGATGATTTTTTTTACCCGAATTTTAAGTTGCATTGTAATGATATTTTTACCCTTTTTTGTGTGTGTTGGGCAATACACATATACCATAAAAGATAAAGAGAAATTGCAAACTGTAATAAACTGTTAATACAGAGATATATATCTCGCCTTTTTGTTATTTCGATAATGCAAATGTTGAAATTAAAATAGCAATACTTTTAACATGTAAGTAATGCATAAATTCAAAGTCAACGAACCATGACTGAAGGTATAAAGGGCTAAACAATCTCCATGGAAATGAAATGATCCAATACTAATACAACTGCATACCAAATACCATTGACCTAGGTCGTTCCCTTTAAACAAACCTAG